GTGCGGGTCGAGCAGGGGAGGCGGGGTAAGGGTAGTCCGGCTAGAGGGGGGAAACCAGTAGCACTCACTCCCGCACGCTCAACGACTTCTGCTGCTGAGTGGAAAGACATAAAGCAATAGGGCTAGTGGGGAGGTGATGGGGGTAGGGGGAGGTTGATGGGAGTACATGGAGCGGCAGGGTACGGATGGGGTGTGCAGGGGCCTTTAGGGGGTCACAAGTAGTGGCGGTACAAGCAGGACGTCGAAGAGGAGCGGGGTATCATAGGGCGAGTAGTAGGGGGAGGAGGAGGTAACATGCTTACGCATGAGAGGTATTTGGGCTGAGAGGCGGGCACACGGGGGAGTGCCCGGGGAGGAGAAGGGCCAAAGGGAGCAGACTGCTGCAGGCCTGATATTGGATGGGCAGGCGTCCAAACAGAGACGAATCACTGCAGGCTCCACCGATTTATCTGCTGGCGTCCCCGAACACGATATTGGACTCGGGCGGGCTAAGCGACGAGTTTGGAGACTTAATCCTCCCGCTGCCACCCGCCGAGGCGAGGCGAGGCGCGCCGAGTCTTTCTCTGGGGATCGGGAAGGTCAGAGTGAGAGAGGGTCGCAATCGGCAGCCTAAAAGCAAGCAGTGCTGACAGCGCCGGCACAGCACACGACGAAGAGGGCGAAAAAACATGCACACACTCTCTTCCTCTCCGCTTTCTCACGGGGCGGTAAGCGCCGGAGATTACACAACCCTCCCCCAGCAGGTCAGTCTTCCCCCACCCTCACCCCTCATGCCTCGGGAGGGCAGCAAGGTTATTTTTTGAGGGGCTGCGGCCACTGTAAGGATTAAGGGTTATGCTGGCGGCTGGCGGCGGGGCGGCTGGCGGCGGGGCGGCTGGCGGCGGGGCGGCTGGCGCGAGGTGCACGGCGGGCCCACAATTGTTCTTGTCCGGTCCAATGTACCCGCACCCCTCATCACGCTGGTACCCTCGGGAGTAACGGCTCCGGCCCCGCAGAGAGAGTGAGGAGGGAAGGGAGGCTCCACCGTGAGGCTTCCTCTGCAGACCGGGCGGGGCGGGGCGTGGCGGGGCGGGGCGTGGCGTGGCGTGGCGGGGCGTGGCGACCAGCAGCCAGCCTCACCCGGTCAATGTATGCAGATTACATCGCACCCCTTCGATCACGCTCGAGAGAGAGAGGGAGGAGGCCGAGGTCCGGTCCGGACCGGCCGGCCCGGTGCGCAGCCGGTCCCAGGGGCCGGGCCGGGCCGGGCCGGGCGCGCCAGGTAAGCGCGAGGGCAGCTGGGCCACATCACAGAGAAGGCCAGCCCGGCCGGGGCCCTCACGGCAATGAGATTGGCTGGCCTCACGGGGGATGGGGTGGGTCTCTATGATGTGATGGCAGGGGGGCTCCGCGGGATCAGGGTCTCTCTCTCTCTCTCTCTCTCTCTCTCTCTCTCTCTCTCTCTCTCTCTCTCTCTCGGACACAGTGCTGTGACCGAAAAAACAATGTGGTCTTTCAAGTGTCATAGGGACAGTATTTACACACTACTCTTGAAACACCCCAAAAATCAAGGACAATATCGAAATTTCAAAAAGACAAATCAAGATGTCATCGCCAGACTACCCAGGACCAAAGAAAGTGCATTCTGACCGGGAAAAATGTGTATTCTTTCTATAATCATATCGACAGAGTTTTGTACTGCCAGGCTACGGGGCCGTGGCGTCTTAACTCATAATGCAAACCCGCACCATTGGAGCGATACACCTGGTTCATTCTGGACGAGCTGTCATAGCGCCTAGTAGCTAGGCAACACCTCGCATGCAGTGCATGCGTGTACTGTGGGCTGGCCTATCCTGAGTCTACAGGGGCCGAGGGTCTATAATTTGCCAATGAAATCTGCTAACGTATTTTTTGAACGATCTCCAAGGTCGGAGTACACGTTTAGAGTCACTGTTGAAGCGCATTCCCTGATCAGGACTGCAGAGTCCTGGCGGCGATAGTGGGGGACGCTGCAAAGGCCAGGGCACACGGGGGGCCGGCGGGCAAGGGCAGACAAACGCCAGGAAGAGGGCAAACAAAAACACGCAAGAAGCAGGGGCGTCTTCTTGGCCCGTCCGGCTCGGGTCCTGTCCCCTGTCCATCCGGTCGGGCAGTAGCTGGCCACGGCCTCCCTGCTGCGCCCCACCGTGCACCGCTGCCCGGGTGTGCAAGTTCCACTTACGTCCGACGTGAGCTGGGTGCAGCCTCGTGACACCCCGCACACGCTTAGGTCCCCGCCTCCACCCCCCCCCCCCCCGCTTTTGTTCTCTCTCTCTCTCTCTTTCGTCCAGTCTCTCTTCTCGTCCCGTGGAAGACAAAAAGACAGCGATGCTGGCGTGATATGAGAGGAAAACGGAAAGGGGGGGGGGGGGTAGACAGCCCCCTCTCTCATTTCCTTGCCCAGGACCCGCCCGGCTACGCCGCCGGCGCCACAGTTGCCCGCGCGACGGTATATGGAAATTGAAAGGGACGCGCGTCACTTAGGCTCCCGCTCGGGTCAAACCAATTACCGTCAAACGGGAAATAAAAAGCGAGCAGAACACTGTGGGACAGCAATGGGGCGGTCGCAGAATAGTCAAGTGCCGCGAAGCTGTTTAGCTCGAGACAGAGTTTTGTTATTTTTGGACGGTCCCTTACTATTTTTTCCTCTAGGAAGGACAGGGGGGTCGGTATGGGTGTTGTTAGCGGTCGTGCACGGTGGAGAGAGATCTCTCTCCACCGTGTCTGCCGGGCAGGCCCCGCGCGGGAATTCCGGGAAAATCCCAGTTGACTGCCGGGAGATCACGAGTCCGTCCGCTCGGCTCGCGCGACCTGACTCGCTCGGCTCTCGGCTCGGCTCCTGTCAACCCTGGCCGGCCGGGACCGAGCAGCGCAGTGCAAGCAAAACGAAAGGTTTGCGTTTACGTCGTACGTCGCAAACAAAGGACAGTCCAGTCTCAGTCTCAGTCAGTCCTCAGTCGCTGTGCACCACTGGGCGCGGAAGGTAAGGTTAGGTTCACCTCTGACTCTCGTTCTCCTGTCGTCGCTAGACTCGACCAGCACCATGGTAAGTGTTTGTCAACAAGGGCTTGTGCCCGTTGTGACTCGAAGATCGCCATACCCTCTGACGAACACGATATCGTATCCCCACAGATCGACCAAGTGCCGGATGACGTGCTAGCCATGGTGATGTCGCTCCTCAGCGTGAAGGACATCTTGGCCTGTCGCCCCGTGTGCAAACGTCTGGCGGCCCTGGCCCAGCACCCCGACGTGTGGCGGCACCAACGCCTTGACATGCACCGCCGCCACGAGTGCTGTCCAGCGATGCGCCTGGCGCCGTGCGTGCGCCAGATCATAGCCTACGCCCCGACCAAAAGACAGCCGTGTCGCCACACTGACCTACGGACAACCACGTGCGCCGCCAGGGAGCTGTCGATCTCCATGAGCATAGGGCACTGTGGGCCCGAGGAGGCCGCGGAAGTCGTCCAGATCGTCAAACAGCAGGAGGCGCTCGGCCGGCTGCGAGCCGTGAGTTACAGCTCGTTCTCGGTAAGTGGCAAAGGGCAACTGAAGTGGAAACTAAGCGCCACTTGGTTGCCCCATTACTAAAACGAAGGTGGGATTTAAGGGGGGACCTTTCGCACCGGACTCTGAGAATGGCATAAAGGTAACTTAGGCTGAGTATCCGCGCTCCGGTTATCGTCATGGTGTATTGCCGTTTTTCCGCACAAAGTTCAAGCATCGTCCGAGAGATAGTGCTAGTTTCGGTACACTTCCAAAAACACAACGCTAACTTGTGGTAATTTCCGAATGCATTGCAAAGATAGGCTTTGGGTGCATTTCCTCGACTTTTGTGGTTCCGTATTGTTTCGCGCAGAGTAACCTGCCGAGGACTGCCGGCCAGGGGATTACCGGCGGGTGGGGTGGGGGAGGGGCG